CGAAACTGGATTTGTCCCCTAGTTTACCACCCTTAGAGGTTAAATATTTGTTCAAATTTACAAGGGACCAATACTGACGTACCCTCTTTCCAACAAAAAAGAACCAATAAAATCGGTTCCCAGATGTCGGAGTAATCGTGTAACATACACGCAAAAAAGAAAAATACAGCCAAATTGAGAACCTTCTCCTGTTTTAAAGTCGGTTAAAATACCATTTCAACCGTAAAGAAACAAAAAGACATTTGATTCCTATTTGGTTTATAGCTAAATGATAAAATAGGCGACGGTATAGCCTTCTCTTGTATCTTCTTAACTATTCCTATAATATCTTTAGCTACAAGATCATGATCATGGGGTGGTACCTTTATATACAGTAACCCGGCTTTCGGGGAGCAGGTTTCACTCGACACCATTTATTCCATACAACACTATTCCAACCTGAGTGTGTTCGAAACATCCTTAAAAAAAACATTAACACATAAACGTCTCACATTAGGAGTAAAAGACACAACGAGAACAAAATAAGGAACAAAGTAAGGTAATATAGAGATTCGCCATGTACTGATTCACTCAGAACACAAAAAAAAGTCGGTCATACCACCGGGTTCGGGTCTCCATCGCGTATGGGTTAGAGACTTCGAAAACATTTATCAACAAGTCCTTTAACGTGATAATTCGTTAACTTAAACTTAGGTAATCAAATGCAAACCCTCTGAATATGTTTTGACTCCTCTATATCAAGACCATATGACCTACAAAACATGTTCACTGCTAAGTACAGCAAACGATACAGCAATCTGTCATAGTAAAGTGACACGGAATGGATGATCTCGAGGATCGCTCCCTTTGTACTAGTTGCAACGTCACCATGACACATTGAGCCACTAATGGGTTCTTCTCGTTGCGATAGTCGAGAAAAAACTTTTAGGCTATACTGAATGTGATGTTAGTGAAGTGTTAGTTGGGGAAAAAATTGTAAGTAGTTTTACTGCGAGTAGCACTAAACCCAAACCCGAGACAATACAGAAAGATAGTGTGCAAGCCATTCGACCACCGAGGTCATCAAAACGATATAACTGTAGACAGTTATCTCTTATTTGCATAGGTTGCTGGATTACAGATTGAGACCTCGATATATTAGAAATAAGAAAATTACACACGCAGGCACGAGAGCAAAAAGAAGTGTTTCCACAGGGCCAAATTAAAATTATCATATTAACCTGTTTGCCTAATTGGATACCACGCTAAACTACTATAGGCTAATAAACTACTATCGTATTTTTCAACAGGGACATAAAATTTTTGTTTTTTTTAAAATTTTTTAAAAAATTTGTGTTTCGATAATTTGTATTTGCAGTACATGTGTTACATTTAAGAACGGAATTCGATTCTTACATTTGACCACCGCGAACACTTTTGTAGCACTTTTGTAAGACGTTTGTTCAATTCTTTGGATCTAATTTTCCTAGCACTAAAGGTAGTATCGGTATCGACCTTGAAACTTCTGAGAAATGAGATTGATTGTCAAAAGTTGATGGACCGTATTGCAACAGTTTCACTTAAGCTCATGTAACATTTTTTTTATTTTAAAAAAGTGCGCATTTATTGATCTCCATCTTACCTGATAGAAAGTGACGATGAGGTCAACGAAGGAGCATGCACACCTGAATAATGAATATTCACTCTCGCCTTGAAAAGGCCCGTTCAGACAACAAATCTGCAGGCAGAGAATTCCACTTCATAGTCATTCGCGAAACGCTTCGAATTTTGGAACATCCAAAACATACGGGTGGAACCCCAGCATACGTCTGATCCCCCGATGATGATGGAAAGGGGAAGGCAGAATCGTGCAATTCCCTCGCACACTATCCGTGATATATCCTGTGAAGTAAGTAGGCGTATTGATGGCGGTGTTCAAGGTCCTGCAGTTTCACTTCTATTAATTCCGAGTCACCTTTAAGCCTCTTAGCAAGCTTTTCTACTGAATCCGAGGTGGCCAGTTGTTATTTAGCAAAACAATCCCAATAATAATAAAAGATATGATTTCTTATTCGTCTATTTCTTATTTTTGTCGCTATAGACGGAAAGCAAGCACTTAAAAAAATTACTAGATATATCGATGAAAATAGTTAAAACAACGCAGTCCATCCCAAAATTGAGACATACGTACAAAAGGGCCAACAAGAATAATTTGCATAACTTTGTAGTAGTCCTTCCGTCTTTTGTTATTTTTGAGTATATTCTGTCACCTCAAGAAACGTCGCTTGATATATCTTTGTATTATGTTTTTCTCTTTATTGGGTTGTTATCGGCAATAAAGTGTATCGTATTTATGTGGGCTCGTTGATAAGTATCGAGTTTGACGTAAATATCTAAACCGTTAAGGTTATCGTCAAAAAAAGGCCGCCACCTAATTGTACATCTTGAAGGGCAATCTCAATTCCAAGTGAAATATCAAATTCTATACATTTCCGAAATCGATGCCGAACTTGAAAACTGAAATTTAGGTTCACGACTTTTAGAAATGTTACAGTATTTGAAGGTGTATGAACATCAAATTGTTTTTTTTTTTAGTTAGACAGCTAGATTTCAGATCAAAAGAGCTTGGAGTATCCAAGCGTATATAAAGAGATTGATGCGTGCCGAGAAAGCAAAAGAGGTATGTCAGGAACAGACTACATATCAGGCATAATGGTATTATTTATATACGGAACTTTTTAATGTGGTGCTTAAAACATCAACCCATAATATGGAAAATATGGCGCCCTGGCGTGCACGACATCGCCTACGCTAGAAGCGTTGTGATATTGGTCTGAAAACTCAGTTAGTTATTATAAAGTCTAATTAGAGTAAATGGATAAAGTGTTAAGGTATGTTAGGCCACTGTAGTGGTGATTTAAATTAATTCATCTTGTTATGTAAATTCCAATTAACGTAAATGCGATCATTAAAATTTTAAAAGAGAACCTCGTCCTTTTTTGAAATCGGTTAAAAGAAAAGTTATTTGGTACCACTGTTGATTAATAACAACTCCAATCATCGCCAAACTTTACAATTTTGATAATTGAACTTTTGAAAGTTAAACTAGAACTCATTATGAATTACATTTTACGATTATATACTTCCCGAACCGATGCTTAAAATATTGATGTTTTACTAAGTGATATTCACATTTGATTACAAAACAGAATACCCATTGTATAAAAACTTTTATTTAACTGATATAATTTTCAAGAAAGCTTTCTTACTGACATGGTTGACAAATTGTCCGTGATGGATCGTCTTCAAAACTGAGAAAGTAAGAATTAAACGAGCAATTTTCTGTTCAAACATCTCGACTTTCTTCAAATTTGGGATAGTACATGAAAATGTAGTTGCTCTTTACATTAGACGAGTCAAATGTGTATATCTTATTCTATATTATTTTAAATTCGAATGTTATTTAATTATCTTTCGATGACGGCAATAAACAAACATTAATTGGGTTTTTTTATTCCATATGTTACCACTGGCAACTAATGGGATATTTTAAATTCCATTTGTCGCTAGTGGCAACAACAGATCTCTTTTTTCTATTTGTCACCACCTGGTAACATATGAGTTTTTTCCCATTTGTCGCCAGTGGGAACAAAGCCCAGTTATTATAAACAAAAAATGTTTTGTTCTGTTTTAAAATTTTATAATATCTACTACACCTATGTAATGTTTATTCACTCTCGCCGTGAAAATAACCAAGTTGAAGAATTAAGGGAATAGCTACATTTCAGAAGAAGATCGGCAGAAGCAGTTAACACTACACAAACTCGAGTTTTGTTGATGTTAGTCAATTTAAAAATAATATCTCAGCTCGCTTTTAAGAATAGGAAGGAAAGTTTTAGTTTATGATTCGTGACTCGTAAAGGTGGTGTATTTTATGACAACCACTGTGATCGAATGGCTTGCATACCGATGTTCATAGTGTCGCCATCTCTGAGGTCTAGGGTTCGATCCCCGGCCGGGTCAGTGTAGAAAACTAACTTTTCTATATTGTCTAGGGTCTATGTGTTTGTGATACCGTCGTAACGTTTTTTCAGACTTCCATAACACAAGTGCTTTAGCTACTTACTTTGGTATCAGAGCAACGTTTGTGATGTTGTCTAATATTTATTTATTGTTTATTTCATCATGATAATACAATCAAAGCACACACATGTTTATAAAGCCGTTAAATACTATTGCGGTTAAGTAGGGACGTGTTACCTCATTCATCGTATTTGCCCGACATAACGCTTTCACATTGTCACTTTTTTCGGTCTTTACAAAATTCTTTGAATGAACAATAAAGATACTATCAAACGACACTTATAGAAGTATTTTATGAGTAAAGACGAAAAGTTTTACTAAAGCAGAATTCTAAAATTACTCGAAAGATAGCAAGAGATTGCAGATAGATAAAGAGAAGTTTGAAATTTATTTTTCAAAATGTTTAACATTATTAATTTTATACCGTACGGACCTTTTGGCCAGATATATAAGTCTTATGTAGTTAGGTTCTTTTATAATGCATTGGTATTGGATAATCTCTAAATAATTCCAGTCGACCTGATGTTAGACGGAAAATGGTATCCAAACGGGAAGTAGTCTAGAGCAGTGTTAATAAAATCACTGACTAAACCACCTTCCCCCTGCCTACATACAAAATTTCGTATGAGTTTAATATTACGTTTTTGTATAAAGATTTCTTTTTTCAAAATTGGAATTAAGAATATAATTTTAAAAAGTTAACCAATACTGCACTATAATTTTTAAAAGCGCAGCTTATCTCAATGAATTACGGTCCCCTTTCAATTGTCGTTAAATAAAAATGCTTCAACTATTTTAAAAATAAATTAACAAAGTAAAACAGTTGTGCATATACATGCACAACTACTTTCATAAATATTGTACACATAAAGAAATAAAATTTGTATAGTAATAATCGTAAATTTTAGTTTGTAAATAAATTCCATAAACTTTCTTACCTACATGCATTCCTTGAAAGTTAGCAGAGTTAACGGGGTGACGTCAGAATATTCACAAAGTATGGTCCGCACTATAAATTGCGTCATAAGTTTTGACAAGTTCGTTGTTATAAATCAATTAGTTGTTTCCACAAGCGGAGAGAGGCGGTAAGCGGGCGCGAGACACGGGTATATTCGAACGCAGTAACGTTGGACTGCGGGGCTACCTCCGCGATTGGGTGTACTGCGCAAGCGTGGATATTTAGAATTTGGTGTGGCCAGCTGTGCTTATTCTGCTTCACTTGCAGTTTTAAAGTTTACAATGAACACGTCACAATTCACAATTTTAACATTTTAAACGACGATTTGAAAATTAAAAGAGTAAACTTTGAATGGATCTTATTGCGAATAATTTGAATATCTTTATACATAATATTTATAAACAAGAATATAAACAATATATACTGTGTAGTAGACATATTTAATAGCAAGATAAATGATGTATTGAGATTGACCGTGCTTGGCCGCTGTGTCACTTGCAGTCGTAAACGATGACATATCGACAATTTACAACAAGTTTGTATTGAGTTATTTCAATTTAATGTCAAATGTAGCAGTAGAGCTCCTTGTGAAAGAGTTTATCCAGAGAAGTACTGCCACCTTACCTATTTCTGCCGCCAAGCAGTAATGTGAGTATTATTGCATTCCGGTTTTGAAGGGTAAGGGGCTGGTGAAGTAATTTCACAGCCAGGCTGATGGGACTTGTCAACTATGTCGCAGGGTGACAGGCGTAGTGGCAGTGCCCCTCAGATATTTGCGATTTAAATAAGCTCTAAGCGGGACAACGACCATTGTGTCGCTTACAACCTGGCGCTCGACTTGATCGTCCTGTTATTTTGTATTATAAAAAGGTTTACAAAAGCGCAGTGGCTTAATGGATTACATTGTGGGCGCTGGATATGAAGGTCCCGGGTTCGATTCCCGGTAGGACCAATTTGGGACATCAACTTTTCTTTTAAATTTGTTCTAGTCTGGATGTTCTGGGAAGTGCTCCAGAATTCCGTTGCCCTGGTACTCATAGTATATGTCTCATTGGTATATATTATATAATATTTATCAGACACTGTCTATACATCTCGCTGAAAAGTGAGTAGAGTATATATTTGGTAGAGTAGACTGTATTATTATAATTTTGTATGATTGTTTTTAAAATTTTCATCCATTTATTTAGGTAGGCAAAGATTACATTTTTCCTTGTCTTTTATTTTTATATGAATTTTTTACCGACCTAAAAAAGGAGGAGGTTCTCAATTCGACTGTGTTAGTTACCAAAAACACAAGGTGAGTTTAATTGTCCGAAATTCCTATGTAATGTTACTTGACATTAGTACAGGTCACAGAAACAATTACCAATCCTCTAACGATTCTCATATACTTATATAAAAATAATGAGTTCCGGGTTCGATTCTCTGTAAGACCAAGTCGGTTCTGGTCTAGATGTTTTTGCCAGTGATCTACAGGGAATTTAATCCCTGGTCTAATGCCTGGCTGGTTAATAATATTATTATTAACTTTGGTAAGTTTATTTTACCGGTAATTAAGTTTTCTTTAAATACAGTAAAGTATAAGTATGATAATTACATGTAATTTTTATGATGTGTAATTATTCCTACATTACCGGCACGCTATGATGGCCGTTTTGACAGATTACAATAGTGAGGTCAAATATCAAGTTATAATCGAAAAAAATATAATCAAATGACAGTTGCATCTATAACTCTTTAGATTTATAACTAGTATAGCAAGGCGTAGCTGATTAAAAAAAATTAATAAAACGAAAATAAAAATGTTTATTTTATATATCGTCCATTCGAAACTGCTTGGTTTTGCATTGAGCTTTGAAGTTTGCCGGAGCTAGAAGTCCTATATGTGACGATCGCATTAGATTTCATTTATATAAATTTCGAATTTCGAAAAATAAATGCCGAGTTGTGTCGCTATACATCCATAAATTTTACTGCACATCACTATTGGCAACAATGTACACCAATTACCTCCTTCAGCGTAGTTATGATTTAATATGAAACTTGATGAGCGGACAAACGTCAAAACGGCCATCATAGCGTGCTGGTAATTTAGTATAAATCATAATAATAATAAATTAGCCGATATACCAATATCGGCTAATACTGCTGGATACATACGTTCCAAACCCTCCAATTGCGAGAAGTGGCCCTCTCGCAATTGGAGGGTTTGGTAGTTATTATTTATACAGTTCCCATGCTAGCCCTATGCGAATTGGTAACTTCACACACTTAACGATGTTTTCATTCACCCAAAAATTTCTAATTACATTTCGCACATAAATTCTGTAAAACAAGAGCATGGCTAAATTCGGAGCATATTCCTAGTATCTTCTTCTCTTTCGTATCACTCTTGACAGAGTGGTCGTGGTCATCACGGAGTACGTGTGGTAACGGCTGACGTGGTTTGCCTTACGACATCTCGCCATCCCTCGTTGTTAGTGGACTCCCTCGTGCACTCATGTAAAGGACCCACCACAATAAGACGCTCTTTGGAGTCATAATTCCGTCTTGAGACATGGCCAAAGAATGTTAGTACACACACAGTAGACAGACGCTGCTTGATGACGAGTTCTTAGAGTATGGAGGCGTTTGAACGAAAGTCTGTACACGATACCCCAAGTATTCTTTTCCAGCACCACATTTCCAGAGCCTATTATTATTCGTAGTATGGCATTCTATACATATTTAATAATAATAAATCTATCAAGATTATTTATCTTTCGATGTAAAAATGAGAAATACTGAAATATTACATGTTTAATAGACATAAGAGTCAGGCGATAAATTACTTGCCTATATATGATTAAAAAAGATTAATCGAGATAACGAATTTTTTTTATGATAGCAAGTTACGGAACGAACAAGTTGCCTGGTTGTAGTGCCACTCAGAGCTTTAAATCACAAAGATCTGAGGGGCAATGCCACTGCGGCCATCATCCTAAGATATAAGTTGAAAAGTCCCATGTGCGTGTAATTTCTTACTCTTAAAATTTTGACTCGTTCTCGTTGTCAAAATTATAAAAGGAGGACGTGCTCATAGATCATCCTCATGTAAAACTCAAACTTCACGTGATTTCGTATAGGCCATTTGGAGGTTAGTGTCTGGACTGTTTAGCAGGGAGTGTTTTCTAATACTGATTGTACTTTTACATTATAATTTTTTTTTGTTATACATAGGTTGTTATATATATTACATAAACAATATTTAAGAAGTAATTACAACATTTGAAAATGGAACTCTTTGGCTGTAGAATACAGTTTGTTTATTGACTATCACTTGTTTTTATATTGTGGCGTCATTTTAGAAATTGGTTGTCTACATCATCATGGACTTAACTCGTGAAAATTTTCGTGATATGATTTTCTACGACTTTAAGTGTAATTTAACAGCTCAGCGGAGTTTCGCTCGGCTTTAAACTGCTTTTGGCGATGAAGCACCATGCAAGATGACTATTTATAGCTGGTTTGCAGAATTCAAACGCGGTCGTGTGAATCTCAGTGACGAATTTCGTGATGGTCGCTCGTCCACTGCTGTGAACAACAAAAACATCGATGCTGTGCGCCGTATCATCAAAACATACAGGCGTGTGACATACCATGAGATTCGGGCATCTTTAGGCATAGGCATGAGTCAAATACAATCAATACTACACAAGTATTTGTGTGTGAAAAAGCTGTGCTCTCGGTGGATCCCACACAATTTGACTGAGGCTCAAAAAACGGATCGCGTCACTTGGTATTGCACCAGATTGGCGCCATGCTTACCAGATTCAACGAAGGGGCGTCAAATTTGATGTGGGACATGGTAACAGGTTACTATGTCGTGACAGGTGACGAAACATGGATTTATAGTTACAATCTCAAAAGAAAGCAGCAATCGAGCGTATGGGTCTTTCGAGATGAGCCGAAACCAACCAAAGTGGTGCGCGTGTAAAGTGCCTCAAAGCGGATGATTTCTTCTTTTTTTAATAAAACTGGTCATGTGGCTACTGTTGCTTTGGAGAATTATTGTACCGTGAATAGTGATTGGTACACGACCATTTGTTTGCCGAAAGTCATTGACAAACTGCGTAAAAATAACCTTAAACGCCGTATCATCTTGCACCACGATAATGTCAGTTCTCACATGGCTAGACAGACAAATGAATTTTTGAAGGTGAACAACGTTGACCTTATGAGCCATCCCGCGTACAGCCTCGACCTGACACCTTGTGACTTTTATTTATTTCCAAACCAGCCTTTAGTATTTAAGAACCAGTTACGCGGTCAACGATTTTCATCACCTGAAGAGGCTGTCGAAGAGTATGAAAAATATGTTTCAGAGATGTCACGGAGGAGTGGCATAATTGTTTTCAAAATTGGTTCATTCGTATGAAAAAGCACATTAACGCTAACGGAGAATATTTTTAGAAACCATAAATTCATTACTGACCATTTATAGTATTTTTTTCTTATTCATTCCGAAAACTTACAGCGCGCCTCACGTACCCTTTTCATTTTCTACTTGTTAATAAATTTATGTGGACTGCGGCTTTTCTTTCTTTTCGCTAAGGCTGGGGCACATAGTTCCCTAAGATGGCCGTAGTTCCCTGGACGAACTCTTTCACAACAGCTCTACTGCTTCTTTAGCAGTATTTTGCTATGGCAGCTAACCACCCTGCGTTTCCCGCGCGCCTAACACCGCAATTTTTTCTCATCGCCGTCCGGCCTCGTTCCCGTGAAATTACAAAACCGCCGACCGCCGTTGAAGGTACGAAACACGCCGAGGGGATTCTTTACCGCATGTAATCATCCTAAGAACAACAAGATGGGATAACGAGACTTTTAAGGGTTCTTTTCACCCGCTCGGTACTAATCATAACAAACAAACCTTAACATTCACTCTCGAAAATTAATTGTTACCTATTAAAATTGGTAAATCTATGGCACGGAGGCGAAACCCAATAAGTTTTATAACATTAAGTGACGGGACGAACTAGTTGTGTGACTAATAAGTAAGCCATATGCCTGTCTATAACAGTTGCAGTGTCACTCAGAGCTTTAAATCGCAACAATCTAAAGGGCACTACTACTGCGTTCGTCACCCTGA